AAGACCAGCGCCCCCCCCCCAGCCGCACACAGCTCAGCCTTCCTGGACGCGGCCGCGACACCCAGCTTATCCCAGTGCAGGAAGCGCCTCTAAAATTAAACCTCACCGGGAGTCAAGGCCACGGCGCTGGGCGTGCACATCGCTCGCTCCCCACCAGCACCCACGGGACCCCCAGCCACTGCCCACCCCGAATGGGGGGCCAGTTTCGGGTGCAGCCCGGGGGCAGGCAGAGGCACCCCGCTTGCAAAGCGCTGGTGCAGCTGGCTCTGCCGACTCAGCAGCTGTGGGGCCGGCTTTCCGATGGGAAATCGGCACGGAGGAGTGGGGGAAAAAACAACACCGGCAGCCCGGGGATTGTCAGGGGGAATTTGCTGAGCTGCTGTCTCCAAACACAAGGTCTGCCCGCGGCACCCACCCGGCACGGCCCCTTCCGGGGTCGGGGACACTGTGGGGACATCGCTAGCCGAGGGGATGGTGAAGCATTGGGTGAAGCCATGGGACAGGCAGGCTCAACCCTCAGCGTGCCTCAGTTTCCCCTTGCATCTGGGGAGGGGGTGACTCACGTGCATCTCATTCATGTTCATGACGGTGGGAGAGGGCCGGAAGGTGCCCAGGCGGTGCCGGATCCCGTCCTCCAGCGTCATGCCCCAAAACTGGCTGTAGTTGGCAGCTCTCCAGCTGTGCAGCAGGAAGGGGCACGGGTCAGGGGCGCCCCAAAAAGCACCGAGGAGCAAAGCATCCCTTCCCCATCCTCCCGGTGCCCCGTTCTTACCCGTAATTGCCCCTGTTGACGGCGTCAATCAGCTCCCCGTCCATCAGGCAGGCGTGGTCCTCGCACTGCCACTGCCCGCTGGGGCCGCAAGTGCTGCAGGGGGAACGGCACCGGAGGGGACAGTCAGCCGGGGAGGAATGGTGTCCCTGGGGTGACCGGGGGGACCCCGGGCAGGTGCTGCCCACCCCCAGCCGGGGACCCCCTGCTGTCATGGGCAGCCAGCGCGGGGCTGGGGCTGCTTCTGCACCGGGGTCTGGGGGTTGCACCGCAGCTTGGCACCTCAGGACAGGGTGAAGCTGGGCCAGGAGCCGGCGGGAAGCCCTCTGCATGGCCCTGGGGGCTGTCCCCCCCGCCTCGGCCCCGGTCCCTGCAGGAGCCCAAAGGGCAGACAGAGCATGGGACAGAAAATCAGCTGAAAAGCAGCCAGGCCTGCAGACTTCAGAGCGGGGCTTGTGGGGGGGGGGGGGGGGGGGGGGGGGGGTGGGGGGTGGGGCCCCCCCCCCAGGGGGAAAAAAAAAAAAGCCACTCTGGCCAGGTTAGCTGGGAGCCCTGCGGCACCCACGGGGAGACCCGGGGCAGGGGGTGGCTGGGGAGGATGTGCCGGGTCCAGGTCCCCCTGGGGAGCCCTGGCCTGTGCTCCCCCCCGCACGGCGAGCAATGCTTGGCATGCTCCCTCCTGCCTGCCAGCCAAGCTCCCGGCACACTCTTCCCTTTTAAGGAGCCATGTGAGGCCAGAGCGTGTCCTGCCAGCCCGGCCCCAATCCTGCCGGCGGCACCTGCACCCCAGGCACCCACCCCTGAGTGCTCCCGGTGCTGCGCTGGTGACCCCGCAGCTGGCTGTTACCTCCTCGGGGACTCCCACGAGCACCTCAGGGTGCAGCCAGCTGGGTGCCCGCAGCAGCCCCCTCTGCTTCACCCAGGCATTGCGATCGCCCCCTGCCAACCCCCCCAGGCCCCGCAGGAGCCGGGTAGGGACAAGGTCTGGGGTGAAGCGCTGCAGGAATTGCTGCTCTCCAGGCGCCAAGTGTGGGGGAAGAGGGTTTTGGCAGAAGAGCCTCAGCCCCCAAGGGCCAATGCTGTTGGGGAAGGCATGCTTTCCCAGCAGCAGGGACCAGTCATCCAAGTGCACGGCTTGGGGACCTCGACCTTCCCCAGAGCTCGGGGACATCCTCCAGCCCCGCATGCCTCTGTGCCACAGTTCCGGAGAAATGCCGGGCAGCACTGGGGCTTCGGAGAGGGGTCGGGCTGGCTTTTCACCTCCAGCTCCAGTGCACATGCCTGCACACACGTGCACACACACGTGCTCATGCCCTCGCACACGCTCCAGACAGAGCCTATGACTTCCCTTATCTGTCGCATCGTTGCGATCCAGCCAGCCCCGCTGCGTTTGCTCCTTGTCTGTGGGCAGATCTGTGCCCGCAGGTTCCCCTATCCCCCACCTCAGGGATGCCATTAATACCACCGCAGCCGTTTCCAGATAAACCCCACGCTGCTCGCTAATGCAAACAGCAAGCTCCTGGCGTGCAGCACAGACGGGCTGCTTGCACCCAAGCAGGTGGCAGGGATGGACTCTGGCCGCCTGGCATGGCCCCGCGGCAACTGCCAGCTGCAGACACGTCCCGTCAGGCTTGGGCAAGCTGGGCTTGGACCAGCACGGCCAGAAAAAACCCAGCAGTGCCGGGCCCGCGTCGGCAGCCGGCAGCCAGCCCGGCCATGCGCTAACGCGGTGGAGCAAGCGGCTCCCACAAAGGCATGTGCTGAAACTTGGGCGCGGCTCAAGGCCCCGGGCTCTCTGCTCCAAATATGCCAGAGCAAAGGCATTTGGCACCGGCCTCCGCCACCCAGCTCGGGCCCTGTGCTCCCGTTCCCGCTGAGCCGGCTGCGGGCAGCCCTGCCGCTTGCAGGCCCCCTGATGCCTTTCCGATGCCGGCAGGCAGTGTGCCGGCGCCGCGCCGGCGCTGCCCGCATGGCACGGGAAGCGCGGAGGCACTCACCATAGGTTGCAGTTCTCCCGGTATGTGGCTCCAGTGGGGTAGCCGCGGCCGGCACGGGCACAGCCTGGATGGGAGAGGGGAGAGCCCTGGTGAGTGCCCGGTTGCATCTGGGGTCCCGCCAGCACCCCCATGGCCCCAGGGGGTAAATACAAAGGGGAAAATAAATGTGGTCCTTAAAGCCAGGCAGGTGCCTGGCTGGAGCTCGGCACTTCCAGAGCTGCGTTCCCATCCAGCCAGGGCACGATGGGGACCAGCTTGTGCCCCACAGCGCAGGGTGGGAGCAGGGCTGGCTCGGCGCCGGGAGGGTTAACCGTGGGGCTGCGCGTGGGGCTGCTGAGCAGAGCCGGCCTTGCATGCACAGGCTGGCAGGACCAGGATAAAAGGGCCAGTTGTACCCGGGAGCTGGCTCCGCTCTGCAGGGACTTCTTAGAGAGCCTTGTGCTGCGCGGCGGGGGCTGCCCGTGCCCCCCGCTTGCCCCCGTCTGCCCTGCCCGCCCCAGCTGCCGGGCGGGTTGAGTCAGGGCCAGCATCCGCCTGCCCCAGACATGACCGGGGAAGCCAGGATGGAGCACCATCCACCCCTGCTCTGCCCCACAGGTACGCGCCGCTGGAGTTCCCCCTCTGCCCTCCTGTCCCCCGCAGCCCTGTCCGTGGGGAGGCGCAGGGGATGGGCTGCGGGGCTGCGGGCTGCTCCCAGCCCTGTTTTTGGGAGCCCAGCCCCAGCCCAGCCACTTTGCACGAGTTTCTGCAGCTCCGAGGGGTCTGGAGTGGCTCTGCAGCGAGGGCAGGGCTGTGGGGTGCCGCGTACGGCTGTATCCATTATCCAGAGGGGCACCAGCGGCATCACACAGCATGTCGGGCACCCCAGGGCTGGCCCCTGGCACCCACGGACCCCTGCCCGGCCGGGCTGGGGGCTGCCTCACCTGGGGCTTTGGGGAAGGGGGCCGGGATGCCCAGGCAGTACTCCCAGAAGTCAGGGCAGCAGTCGGAGATGGTGCGGTTGCAGAAGAGGTCGCAGTAGCAGAGGGTGTCATGGTAGGGCACGGTGCAGCCGTCGTCGCGGCCGTGACAGCAGACGTCCCCTTGCTGGCAGTAGGGCC